AATAGGTAGTCTATCTGTCTTTCTTCTCAATGTCCTTTTTACTCATTTTCTTCTTTACCGGTATTTGGACATTGGTTTACTTTTTGTTCAAAGCATATTTATATACAAATCTAATCACATAATCACAAATACAAAAAGAACGCTTTGCGAAACAGAAAGCCATCGAAATTGTTAAGTAAAGCCAGATTTGACGACTAGTACGGACGGAATCAAACGTGCCACCCGACTATATGTGCATCGGTTTTATCGCATTTATGATTATTACAAAAGGACTCACAATTGGAATAGCCAAACGTAGAAGCATTCGGAACTCATAACAAAAACCGAAAGGGAAGAAACGGCCCAGACATCCGGTATGAACGACATCCGGGATCTCAATGACGTGCACATCAACTCTGTCATCATCTACGATAGAGAAAAATATGTATGTTGTCATCAGAAATATTCCTGAAAAGTGTAGCAAATATATGACACTCATAGCAAACTTCATTTATTGAATAGAAGAAAATCTGTGTATGTGTGTGTGGGGGGGGGCAGAAAGTCTAGAAACAAAGATAACGCCTATTTCGGCAGTGAAATCCTCCAACTGGCCATTCGATAAACATTGCACTTAACTTGTCTGTATGTTAGGTGTATTCTAACGTTCACTTTTTATATACAGGAATTGACAAACTTGTGCAACATCCTGATTTTTCTCACATTTGTTCCTCTCAGTGCTTCGTTTTTCCAGGCTCATTCACAGGATTGAATATAATATTGCCCCACATCAGATGCAACATTTCTGATGTAATACCCACTTGTCTTTGCTTCTGTTAGCCAAATGCGAATAAAATCTACGGTTTCGCAATTTTGACGATGGTTGCTGGTGCATCAGTTGTGAAATAACGAAGTTGCTGTAGAAAACATAACTAGAATTTATTTATTAAATTGATCCATAGACTTCATACAGTTATTGTACTTTCATCTCGTCCATGTTCCTCTTGCTCTCCTTCATTTTTGAGCACTGAAGGCAGTCGCTTTAGCATGGAGTCCACCAAGTTGAATGCCAAACATAATTTGCAATTTTCCTCTAATACACCCTGCACCTTAACTATTGACGACCAGTGGCATGACAGCTGACTTATCCCTGTTTCTGATACAGTAAAAGGTTTTCGATTAAATTAAAATCCCAGCTGCTGCGCCGTAATTGAATGAATTTGATATTAAACTTGACCCCATCAGAGTCTGCATAAACGTGAAAAAATAACATTTGATTAGGTATAACTTTTGTTTCCTACTAACGTCAAGCAAGAAGATATACCAACCTTCATCTGAAAAATATGACTTTTGCGAACATATTCACAGAGTAGCAGTTACCGAAAAACAGCAAAACATTTTGCAATATTTAGCTTGGTGCGTGCAGGATACCAATAACAAGGCACTTCCGTCCTAACTCATCAGGCGGGTTGAATATTTACTTCTTCTGACAGGTAAAAGGAAATTCATTAGAAAACTAGCTCAGAAGATCAAATTTCACCACAGGCCACCGGGGAGATAAACCCATTGCCAAATGGACTGGCGACGCGATTTGAATTTGCTGATAAAACCATTACATGCCCTGCTTTGTTTGGCATTCCAAAGAGACTTTCTTTCACGTGGCCTCAACTGCATTGAGCCATCATTTCCCAAACGAAAACGTGAGGAAAATACGGGACTATCCTCCAGATTGGTTTTGGGCAACTCTTATCTGCTTCGATCAAATACAACCATCACCTTACTTTGATATGACAGGTTTTCTTCCCCTCGGTGTATATCTTGATGGAGGTATTTCAATAAATATGCAACAAATTGAACGTATGTTCACAACAAAGCACTTCCACAAGACATCAACTGAATCATGCATTTCTCAAATGAGAGTAATGTGCACCAGTTTGATTAACACCTGCAATTGTTTGCACGAGGAATATTCAAATAGCTGATGTTATTATTGCGGTGTAAATGTCACAAAAAACGTCAACTTAAAATTTATCTTTTTTCGATATACCCTGTCCAAACTATGAGCAGGCTTGGCGGATCGTCGTAATACACAAAATAATTTGCTGTAATTGAGAATTCCCCGGAGAAATACTATCAATCTTTGCAATTGTTTGAAACCTGCCGAATATCACAATTATTGACGGAACGAAGGACGCTTTGTGCATGGGTGGAGGCATGTGAGACAACTTGTGGAGTACCAGGATTAGCCTGTTTTTCAAATTAATTCGGCTATGACGAATTTGGTTATTGTTCGTATCGCTGAGATTCTGATTGCGACAGAACACTTGGTTAAATATACCAATAATCCCGTCCTATTGCCATTGAACTTCGTACAATCAAACGTTACGGGCTGAAACGGTCATAGGTAGAATGAGTTTAACGTTCTTTTTAGTTTATACGTCAGTGGAGGAAAAACATGCATGCAATTTACAAGTTGATCACTGCATTGGATTACGGTAGTTATGCCTGATCAAACCTCACCTAGATTTTGTTTGAAATGGTAACAAGCGAATCGCCATTGATCCATAAATCGTTTGTTGCTGAATCGAGCATTAGCAATATTATCCCCAATCGTGACACTGTGGTGCACTAGTTGTTAGATCATTTTGAGTCGGAATATGTAGAAAAACGTGGATCACCAGTTAGATGTTACTACAAGGCCATTTGGCTATAAGGGTGTATGAAGCAGATAATTGTCAGATAACATAGTTTGCATTCTACCCCACCCACCTCATTGTATTCGTTTTGTCCCCGATATGCGCTTCGCATATTCAAATCGGTGCCTGAAATTAGTCACCAAACACGTGTTTCTCCACGTGACATGTGTATGTATCAATTGTAGTACACTAGGTGATGGCATAAATTGACTTGAATTGTGAAATTATTTGTCATTAACTTTCAGATTCATCGATTCCACTGAATATCAAACAGTAGTAGTGTAAGGCGGTAAACCAAAATCGTTTTCAAACTATATTGTGAACGACAATCGGAAAGTTATGGGTTTTTATCAGTCTGATCAATTCATGTTAAATTTCAATTTCACTTACAAAACTTTCAGTCCATTACAATTTTTAATAAGACAACAGAAACCAATGCCTTATATTTTTACAAAAGTACTGCAATCCTACAGAAATATAGTAGAAGTGTAATGTGGTGTACCCTTTTTGTTATTTTCATAAAGGATTGTTCAGTGCATTTCGGGGACTATGGTTAACATCCAGCTGGTTACAAATGACCTTGTCACTATATTAGTTAATGCCAATTTTCTCTAATGGACAAAAAAGGTTCCGCGGTTTTGCCGTATTTATTGTTATTATTATTATTATTAGCATTATAACATTCTCGCTTATAATAGATAAAAAATTATCTTACCTAATTCATTCGTACGTAGGAAAGCAGCTTACCGCTAGACCAACGTCTCAGAATTCGGTGCCTCTAAGCATTTTGTCAACTCTTTTAGGTGAGATAAAACATTTTATCCATTGATAAACACAGAACAAAGGAGCATCTTGATGAATCAGAGTGATATAATTGAATGCAGTTCATTGTGAATAGAAATTTTAACGTTTTCAGTCTGGTGAGAATAGTCATCTGGCTCGAGCAGATTTATTCATGTCACGTCGTCCAGAACCAATCGCAAACAAGTGCGAATAATTCAGTGTTGGAATCACGCAACGGCAGATTTTAATATACATATACGTAGATGGAAAATATAGTATCGGGATGGCTGATCAAAAGTTTCTTCCTGGACTTGAGTGATTCCCTGGCTATTGACACTGAGTATGTATGCGTATCAGAAATGTTCCCATTGAGATGTTTATCTATTTGAACGTCCAAAGTTTGTTAAATTCACTTACGTCTTACCAAGCCAGCGTGAAAACAGACAAGTGGTGCCTTCAAGGACTACATGTGAAATTTTAGTTCGAAAAAGTTACCAAAATACGGATTTGACATTTCTGAACAAAATGGTTACCAGTGATAGAAGCCGAAAAGATTTAAACTAGAGCAACCAATCTCAATGTTAGATTGCAAAAAGGTACGATATTAGCCAGTTCCAAAGTGTATCGTAGATGAGGGCTTTGTTAAAATTGAACTGACTGTGGTGACAAATTTGCGCTACACGCCAGAACCCGGAACACTCGACCTATGCGGAGAGCATCGATGGGGAAAACAAAATGCTGAATAGAAAAAGGCTGGTATGAAAACTATGCGAATACGTGAACGATCCACCGAGAAATACATGTAAATAGTATTTGTTTATTGTTGCATAAAGCATTTATTTATGTGTGAGGTTTGAATAGGTGCTCCAAAAAGCTGAAATCACCCCATACACACACTGAATTGTGTGCACCTAGCTAAGTCTTAGCCTTCCGTTTCGAAAATTTACTCAAAGTTAACCAAAAAGATGACTGTTAAACCTGAGAGCACTTCTAAATCTTCGTTTTCCTAACTGATTAACTGTATAGTTCCCAATGCACAAGAGAATGGACAGTTTAGTAGGAAATTGACACAAATTATTCACACCCGGTATTAATCATTCGGAAACAGTGCTTTCTGTGATTTGGGCTCTCCAGTAAAAGTGACAACGAGTCTTGTTGTTTTACACTCATTTGCTCCACCATCGTGAAGGAAAACGCCCGAGGCAGTCCACAGCTCGTTCAAAACAGCTGACTTGTACCTTGAAAAAGCAAACAATAGACAACGAGATACAAAAACAAAGTAGAGCGTGCTTTTTTCTCATTGTTTCATTCTGTGTGCGCGTTCCCAATTAGACGGAGCACTGTGTGCGGTGGATGAAAATACATGACTCGCATGTTGGGAATAAAATGTAAAAGGTCAGAGCGAAATCCACCCAGGACATGGGCTTCGAAGGCGAGAAATCCGACAACTATACAAAAAGGGGCTTGCTTATTTCAACTTCTGATGAATGACATCAAATAGATCATACCACGGTAGGGTTGAGAACATTGTATCAAGGGAATGGCTCAGATAGGCAACCAATGATTAACAATAACGGTGAAACAAGTATCTATACAAGTATCCACACATCTGATGAACTTGCCTTTATCCAACAAATGCTGTGTTTCATTCTCAACGAACCGATTATTTAGGCTCTCAATTCCATCTACGTCCATTTTACACTTTGGAAAACACGAGCTGCCTTGTTTTCCCCGTTCTTGTTGTTGTTGTTGTTCTGGCTGCCCCAAGGTGCCCAATAATGCCCGGAACAGTCGACTACGAGCACCGGAATGTTCTCGACCGTTTCCGTCCCGGTTGTTGTTGTTATTAATATTTCTTCCGTCTAGATAGTTGGCATTTCTATATTGATTTGCAACTCCATCAGCCCCAAGGAAGAAACCATGTCTCAGTAACGCAGCTGCCTCCAATTTCCCCACACCCCGGAACGACATGGGCACTACAAACCCGGTATTGATTTGTGCACAAAAGATAGGCAAACACAACGGCTGTTTACCAACCACGGATCGGTGGCCTTGGAAAACTGGGGATTGCAGACTGAGCGCGGCCTTGACTGCAGCAGACTAGCGACAATAGTGTCGGTCTGGGACGAGTCCGGGATAGGTATGTATGTTGGTGTGTTGTACATGTAGGCTTTTCCAAATTACGTCGTTAAACACTGATTGACCACAGATTGATTGTATTTAGATGAATAAGATATAAGTTGTTTGTTCGGTTGTTGCGTGCACTGACATTATTTAGAGGCGTATGTGGTGTGTGTTTGTGTGCGTGTATTCGTGTGAAAAAAGCAAAACATGTACGTGTAGAAGCTTCTGGCCTTGTCTGACCTCAAAGAGTATTTTGCCATTTAATCAGCATAATGAATATTGCACAGCAAACTATAAGTAGGTTATTGCATGTGAGCTCTCTGCTCACATTTGAGCTACTCCGTCCTTAAGTTCCATTGAGACATAGACCACTGGCACATGTCACACGGCCGGCGACCTCAATCGCGTTTACCATGGGAATGATGTTTTTCATAAAGGACATTACAAACGTGTCGCATCAGATCTCAGAATGTGATCTTTATACTCAGCCACAAGGCATTGGTTAGATTTGGGCCAGGGTTCACCTATTTGCCATTTGAAGCCCCAGTCTGAATTGATCTGACTCTTCGAAGATTTATAGTACTATCAAGGTTTTACTATTTTCATTACACCTGCCAGTTGCAATCTAAGGTATGCCAGTGGTCCGACACTAATTTGAAATTCCAATTTCATCAAAGCCGTTGAAAGATTTTAAACAAGTATCCACTTTGGCTAAAATTTACCTCCACGAAGAATTGAATTATCAGTCAGTCAAACGAACATAAATTGCCCACCAAAATGTTCTACAGAGAAAGAACTTTTGCGGACTACTGAGCCTGTGTACCATTAGTCAATGATGAACATCATTTTTTGAAATACCTCCAAGCAGTGAATATAAAAGGTGGCAGTATCCGTAGTAGTAGCGATATACTTCCATGTTATTTTTAATGTCGGAAAATACTAGAGCATAATCAGCTTTAAAAAAGAGGAAATTATCATTTAGTCTCTACCCGGGACATGTAGAGTGAGAAAAATGAACGTTGGTTACAAGAGTTCATACGCAGATTTCTCGAGCGGACTAGTTATGATTACTATCTCTTAACCACCATCGCGGTGTGTGGCGAAAATATAACTCATGTTCTTCCTATATGGCTCAGTAAAAAATCTAGTTATATTCATTTATTTCCACAGCTAAGTGCTGAGTTCAGCAGTGTTTACCGGATACCAAATACTCCATTCAATTTATACGTTCGAGATTACTATCCGATGAGAATGCTTTATACAGCCTTTTCATTCTAGTCGTTGCACACTATCAGCAATCCAGATCACTGAACTGCCAAACTTGACGAATATGAGAATATAAAGTTATACCGTTGTTTACAAAGTTCCATATCTATATCTATCAAATGTCTTTTGTTCTGGCACCGCTGTTTATCTCTACAATGAGCAGTATTCAGGCGACGGCGTCCAAAGCAAATAATGTTTCCTCCCCCCACCAGTGACTGAGGCATGAACTTGGAAATGAAACAATACATCATGAGTTCAGAAGCTTTGTGAAATCTTGGAATTCCTTTGGAAAGCCAATTCAGAGGTCTTATCATGTGCACACTAGACAGGTGAGAAATAGACAGATACCGTCTGCTTATCTACTGGTGCACCTACTTAAATCCGGTAGGTGGATACATTCAAGTAGCACATGCAGACACGTTCTATTGGATATATCACTTAAGATCAACAAAGAACTTTTGATTTCGGTTCCACTAGCAATGAACGGTGGAGTATACAGTGTTTCGACCTATGGGGAGCCCATTTCATTGGGTTTTAAAGGTACTCCGTGTACTGTGATCGTTATTGCAATTTACGCCCCCTAGTTCTATATACTGATTCAAAAATAAAGAGCTACTTCTACACATGCTGAGAAAATTATTTTTCAGTGAATAATGCTATAGTGACACCCACATGGTTACGTAGCTTCTATAAGGCTTGATGTCAGAAATATTTGCTTTCGACGCCATTTATGCACTTGCTAACTTGTTTCATGTGAGTAATGGAGGAGTTGATTCAATTTCAAAGGGGAAATTCGTCGTGTATATAGCAAACGAAGCGTGAAATGAAAAGCTGAGAAGCACTGGACAGCTGTTTCGACTTGGTTGGGTCTCATCAGCAGATCAAATGCATCGACTGAACTGGGGATCGAATCCAGGCAGGCAGAAAGCAAGCATGCTATCCCCTTTCCGCATTGAAACTTGTTAACTTGTGATTTCAGAAAGGGAGGACAGTACACCACATATAAGACACTTTTAGGCGTTCTGTCTCGCTCGTTTTTATCGGTTAAGAACCGTTGTGCGTATCACTGCGTCGTTAATAAAAAAGGCGTCAATGAAAATGACCACTTGTTATTGTCTGCCTATCGTCAATTTCACCTTTTAACGTAGCGAAATTCATTCCCGTATGACAGAGTGAATACCTCTCAGTTAGAAATTCCACAAATCACAACTTTATACACTTCTATTGTCAACAGACTGACTACATTGTGATTAGGCGGGTGAATAAGCTTCTGTACAAATCTGCGAGTTTATTGTATCGCTGTTGGATCCATTCGCATATACGTCCACGGAACCTGGTCACTAAGATTGTATGATAGAAAATAAACTGGAACGTTTTGCCCAGTGGTGATCCAAAATATGAACAAAATTAGGTTGTATGACCAAGCTTCAATTTCTACCGTCCGTCAACGTTGAACATAGCCTCGAAAAGAGGACTTTAGTATGGAAACAGTAGGCTGGAGTACCAGACGTACTGAAAGTATTAGATAATTCTGTAACAGTCAAAATGACCCATTAGCATAAAGTCAAAATCCAGGGCATAAAGTGTGGATTACCGAAATCCGACAGTTTTCTGATACCGCTTTTTCATTTGGGGAGGGTACACTAGAGTAGTGAATGAGCACTGAACAACATCACGCCCCACCGTTTTACTTTTCGCTTTTCGCAAAAGTGAGTGAGCTCCAAGAAGGCCTATCCCCAATTGTCAGTGGATCCATAACAGACAATCAGGCAGCGGCGAAGTTGTTGATGATTAGCTAGACCACGCCGTCTCACATTCACATCTTTTTAATCAAAACTAACTGAGCGAGAGAGAGACTACAAATCGGTAAAGCTTACCTACAAGTGTGACATAACAACCGACAAACATCGATGAACTTTAACCCGGTAACTGTTCGCATGTTATGAACTCTGTTAACGATGAATGATTGATGAACAAACTTGTATGTTTATCATCATGTCAATTAGTGCGCGTGATGACTCATAATTTGAAGAACAGCAATCTTTGTGAACTGTTTTGCACACAGTAAGAGATAGTGTACAAGATAAATTACTGGTTTATTATTAGCTCCAAAAGCTAGAACAAGCTAGAACAGTGTGGTCAAGCATCTGTCAGAACAATGCATTATGTGATCGTCTTGACAAATTAAATTAGTTAATTTGGGGTCAAATTTACTGTCTCCCATCCTGATACATAGACCTTTGCTAAAACATGGTGAAACTACCTTCATAATCTAGTTTTAAAAACCTTAAATTCTTTCTTTCGAAATATTATTTGTGATAACCGACAAAGAGCACTGGACAGCTGTTTCGTCTTGTTTGGGAGTCGTCAGCAGTGTGTACTTTGTGTGTTCCTGTATGAACTCGAACCGCGAACATTCGGGTCGGGACTTCAAGTCCTTACCCCTGAGCAATACGGTCGACAGTCATCACCTTTTGCGAATGGCTGAAAGAATTTAGAGCATCATGCTCGCTCTAGCTCATTCGATTGTTCATAGTCACCAGGTGCCTTTGAATAATCGAATGGGCTAGGGCTTGATACTCTATCTATGGAATACTATTTGTGATGGAGATGAGAAGGTACAAGATATCTGTCTTCTCTTGTCCGGACACATCAACAGTGCTTGTTAACCTGACAACACGCAGGTTTTGGGGTCTGTGTACTCGTATGAGTAAAACAGCGGAATGGATATTTTTTATAAATTCTCGCATTACGGATAACCTGCGGTAATCTTCTAAAATAACCATGGTGCTATATCTGTAGAGATCAGCTAAAACTGACCCCAATGTTTACGTGCGAGATGTTATGATATTTTTAAACTATGCGCAAAAAGTATGTTAAATAAAAGTACCGTAGGTTTAACGGAATTTCAACGCTTCCAAAGATTATTCACAAATGGTCAGCAAAATAAACAGCAGAGAACTTTGTTCGTAAAACGATAAAAGCTGCAATCACGTGATGAACGAAAATATGTTTTTCCCGACTGTCAAATCAATTTATTTGGATGCTCCAGCTTCCCTAATGCTCAGTGACAAATGCAAACTTGTATGAATGTGCTTTTTAGACTACAGTAACGCACTTGTACGTGTTGGTAGAGCTTAGCTTCGTCTATTCTGGAAAAACAGGGAGTCTCTTCGCCTACTAATTCCTTGCTAAATGAATACTTTTTCTTTCGAATACCGTTTACACGCTCTGGTAGCGCAGTCTTCTCAGTCTTAGCTTCCGAATCCGCGGTTCTTCAAGGAGCCACCGCGTGTTGTTTCTTATTTTCCACTAGCTTGGCTTCCATGCCGTTTTGCAAAGACTCTTTGCTGATAAAATACCCAGATGACGTGATCTTTAGCTTAACTTATCCCAACAACTCTGTTCACTCCACTATCCAGCTTGATATTCCACAACTTAACGAGTGGTCTTCTGCACACAGTCTTTCTATGAACCCATCTAAATGTGTTGATGTTTTATTTCACGTGAGTAGGGGTTACTTATATTCAGACTGTTTTCAGATGTGCCAGCAGCTATTCATTAACGAAACATCCCCCAAT